TGATTACTTATCGAACAGAAAACAGAGGGTTGTAATAAACGGAGTAGAATCTTCCTGGGCTGATTTAAATGCTGGAGTACCACAGGGCTCAATTCTTGGTCCCTTGTTGTTCCTCATTTACATCAACGACATTATAAACGAAGTAATCTGTAATATTAAAATATTCGCGGATGATACATGCATTGATTCTGTTGTAGATAATCCACTAGTTTCGTCGATTTCTTTAAACAACAACTTGCGTAAAATAAAAATCTGGGCGGATAAATGGTTAGTAAACTTTAAAATGTCTAAGACTGAATCCATTGTATTCTCACGGAAAAGCGAACCAGATTATCATCCACCATTGAATATGAATGGCGTCATAATAAAAAAGAGTTCAGACACATAAGCACTTAGGATTAACTTTCTCGAGTGATGGTACATGAAATCATCACATAGAAAAAATTACATCAAAGACATTACCTCGACTTAAACTACTGCGGCGCCTAAAATTTAGGCTTGACAGATCTCTTGAAAATATGTATTTTAACTGCATACGCCCATTACTTGAATATATTGATGTTTTCTGGGATAACTGTTCCGAATACTTAAAAACCCAGCTTGAACACATAAATTATGATGCCGCACGCATCGTTACTGTTGCAACAAAACTCACCAGTCTACGCTTACTTTTGGCAGAATGCGGGTGGGAGACTCTTCAACAGCGAAGAGATAATCATAAACTTCTACTTTTTTATAATATGGTGAATGGAAAGACCCCATGTTATCTAAATGATATTCTACCAGATCAGTTTAGAAATATACACAAGTATATAACTCGTTACGCTAATAATTTTCCATCAGTACCCTGTCGAACTACTTATTATATGAATAGTTTTCTTCCATCAACAGTTCGACTTTGGAATAGCCTTCCCTCGGATATAAAGAATGCTGGTTCTATCGCTCCCCTTAAAGCCTTTCTTAAGCCAAATCATTCTATACCAAATTATTATTATGTAGGCAGTAGACTAGGTCAGATATATCATGCCTGAATCTGTACCGAGAGCAGTAGTCTTAGAGATCACTTGTATCAGAAAAATTTGGAATCAGACCCTTTTTGTAAATGTAAACAGATAGAAACCTCTGAACACTTTTTACATCGGATGACCGTGATGGCATTCCGGTGTATTGCTGTCGCCTAGATTTCCATTACGTAACTTTCGTGTTGGGATTGTAACCGATCTATAAACATGATAAATACGCGGACATTATCGAGTGCAAAATAACATTCTTTACCGCATTTTATAAATTCATTTTTTCAATTGATACTCCTAAAAATATTTTTTTAAGAACATAAATTAATAATATGAAAATGTTTTGTCGTTAGAAATATATATATAAGTAAAAAATCTTTAAAATCTATGCACACGTGCAGAAAATGTGTGTTAACGCATGCGGAAGAATATCACAAGAACGTTTGCAATCTTCCATGCAGAGTTATCGGTCATCGCTCTCTCTCAAGGACCGATAACTCGGTATGGGAGATTGAAAGTTTGGCGGGAAAATATGAATGCCTACTCAAATCCAATCTATTAGAAAAATCGAATTATTACAGAAGAGTGTCCACCATGCACTTGCACTGCACTATTATTAATATAGTAGAATAGAATGATATACAAATGGATGAAAATTATCTATACATGTAACTGTAATATACAAATAATAATATAATATATAACAACAAACCAGAGTAGATCAGAGTATACTGATTTGTATCACTTTAATATCATATTTATTACGGTGAGGTTGAATTCCCTGTCATTTATTTATCATCCACGCACGAACTTGTCTAAGAATTTTTTTTTATATCTGTACATTAACCTCATTTTCAGGTATAGAGATGCGATTTTTTTTCTGAGACAAGTGCTTGTGACCATCCACAAGAACTTGCAGTCATCCGATGTTCAGTACTTCAGTACTTTGACTGTTAAACAAGCTGGTGCACTTAACATAGATACGTTACTTTATGGTGATCCGAACATTACAGATAAAGACAATAAAAACAACTTTCTTATTGTAAAAGACAATATATTGAAAACTAAGAGATTCACAAAATAATTCTTGAAGGCTCAACAACATGTCACCCAATGTTAAAAACTACTACTAGTATCTGCATTAGATGTTAATTTCCTATACTTTTGTTTTCTTTTCCTTTGTAATATATATAAACACATGTATGTTATATGATTGTATATTTTCTGTCCATTGTAATTAATTTTACCATTCAAAAGGAGAGGAATTTGTATAAGTGACTTGTCACTTGTTTTCCAATCCATGTATTGCATTGATTTATTGATGTACGTATTTATTTATTTGTTTCTAAATAAAATATTGTTTACACTAACTACGCAAAGCATTTAAAGTAAATCAAAAATGACTGGATAGCAGTGTCAAATATTACCTCCGTGGAAATCAAGAATGCAAATGATAATACAATCGCATACCAAATACGATCATTGACCTACCACTAGTGGTTCCTCTTAAACTGATCTAATAGCAAATTTCAAAATATAAACTAAGCAAAATTCAAAGTCATTAAACCATGATTGAGGGGGCAGGGTCAAACAATCTCCATGGAAATAAGATGTGCCAATGCTTATATAACTGCATACCAAATATCATTGACTTACCACTAGAGGTCTCCCTTAAACTAACCTAATTACAAACGAATATATTGTTGTCGCCATCGCTTGTTCGAGCTCGTCGCGGTGAGACAAAACATAGATTTTGAAAAATTCACAATATGAACATTTATTTAGCAACATTACTGTGACCTTGTCCTTCAAACTCCATTCCTATAATCAACCACATGTTAAAGCTTAATTAAATTATAACATGAACACCTCAAGAAATCACTAAGAAACAGCAACATCACCATTCAGAAAGCCACATGCGTTGGCTATACATGTATGACACGGGGTTGCGGCTCCGAAGTTGTAAATTCAGATACTATTGCTATGTTTTTTTTTTTATCAACACGAAAAATGTTTCAAGTTCCCAATAATAAAAACTCGCATTCATAATTTTAGAAGTGATTTTTTTTTTTAAATCGCATTAAACGGATTTCGCATTAAACAGATTTCGTTTAAACATGTTTCGCACTAAACACATTTCGTATTAAACAGTATTCGCATTTTTAGAGAAGACAATGATTTACAATAATTAATACATACAATAACTTCTGTATTTCAGAATTGTTAGTCTGTATAGTATTGTACATAGGTGCTTGAGGACAGGACTCTGTGTTGAGCCCCAATAGTCCCTCCCCTTCATTATCATAAATCCCCGATTTAACAATATATGTTAGTTATTTGTAACATATGAATACCAATAAATGATGATCATCTGGGGACAGCAAGAACTCGTTGTTTAAACCGGTAAGAGATATTTAATTACATTTTAAAACAATTCTTCCCGATCGGTGCAACAATTCCTTGGAACGAAGTTAGTAACCTTTCGCTTCGCTCTCACAGGCACTTGTCTCAGAATTTTTTTTCCCTATATACCTTAATATAACACAAGGTACTTAGTAACATAAACGGTAACAATTTTGCTGCACCAGATGCGCATTTCGACAATCAACGTCTCTTCTTTAACTCGCATTTTTGAAAAATGTCACCCGGTCGCGAAATTCCGTTATATTTCGATTTCTCGGTTGTCAACCCCACAAAACTTATAAGGCCGTACATTTAAATGGATTTATCTACACAATAGTGTATGACACGCCTACTTTTGTTGTCGCAATCATTCGTAGCAGGCCTCCCCAAGTATGTCAACCGTAATTATTTCGTCTACCAACACCCGATTGGAAATATAACTCGCAATAAATAATTAATTATAAAAAGAATTTCCAAAAACTTGTTAGATTATATAGTCCATAGATTATAACGAAGCAATGTGTCCATAGAACATATAAGAGAAGGTTGAAACTGCGGAACGTAATGGGGAACGTAATTTATCGGGCATAATCAAAATTTTAAAATGGTTTCATTTCTTATATTTTTCTTTTCAGCTATTGGAACCATACATCAAGGACACAACAATCTCCAGGACTGCAACTTTTGATGGAAGTTGTGACACATTGTTTTTGTGCTAAATTTTATATTCAATACTATCTAATAATGTTGATTTCTAGTACAGTTTATTAACGTGTACATTTCGTGTACATGTGCACCAGGCATATTTGATTTATTTCATGAATGATCTCGAAATTCACAATGTAATAAAAATGTCCGAAATACTGTTTACACCTGAAACATGTTAGATTTGTTAATACTTATGGTCAAGATTGAACTCAAATCTTACGGTTATTCAATATTTCTACTTGATCAATTATCTTTATGTTCAATACAGACGCGTGTAAATAGTTCTCTTTGAAAACCGGAATCAATCCGATATCTAATTTCTGTTGACAAAATGACCATTACTAACTTTGTTTTTATTTGGTATTTAAAGAAAGTTAAATTATTATTCGGGGACTCCGTTTGGATATGCCAACGAGAGCACATGAACTGCGTTAGGATTTTCCAACGCAAGCAGATGTATTTTCCTTTGGTTTAAAATTACTGATTTGTAAATACTTTTATTTTATATTTGTATTCTATTAAAAGAATTTGGAAATTACCAATTCGTTTATGTTTACTGAATTGGACTGCCGACTTAGATGTGAATGAACTGTGATCCAGATTCGCATCCATTAATGCAAACCCAATATCTCATATATTGGTACCGAAACATCTAACCTGATGTAACAATTTCACATCTTGTAGTACAATAACAGCCGACTACAGTTACAAAAGCTAGTTTCCCCAGCTTCAACACCATCCCACAAACGGGATCCCACTCAAAGCCATTTCGGCAATGTTTATCAAAATTCTTTCTTAATAAATTGGTGGAGGCAAGAAAGGGTTCCACAGCTTTCATCTATAATTCAAATATTATGTAAATTTTAGAATACTTACTGTTCTGTCAATTCGGAACCTCCAGATACATCATCAGCATACGTCATATAGCTACATTCTATCAAAACTTCATGATCCCCCTCTGATTGAACCATTTCAACTTTTATCCTTGCCTGGATTAATATTTGGTATACGTCCATGCCGAGTGCTTTCTGTTTATACAAGAAAAGAATTTCAAGGAAATCCACGCACCAATAATAAAGGAAATCAAATTGCTATTATTAATAGAAACCATTTTCCCCCCAGAAATATATAGCTCTATAAGTGTTTGCTTTGATCTCATATGCACTTGTCTCGGTAAAAAAACTTTTTTGCTTTGACTTGTGAATTAATCAGACAGCATACTTTTTAGATAAACGTGTTACTATATACCATTGTGTCGATAAATTAATGTAAGTTTACGACATGATAAGTTTTATTGGGATAGTCGACCACGGAAAAGATTGCTTGATTGATTGGTGTTTAACGTCACGTGTTTAACGCCACTTTCAGCACTATTGTGCTATTTCGTGGCGGTCAGATTTTATTAGTGGCGGAATCCGGAGTGCACGTAGAGAACCACCGACCACCTGTAAGACAACTGACAATCCTAGTCAATTTAAAAGGTAGCACTCCACAGTTAGGTGTGTAGTTTCGCATTTGGCCTCGGTGGATTTTTGAAATAGGAAAACTAGTGTACAATAAAATTAATTTGGGATAGCTGAAGATGAAGCATTAAAAGTGGGTTTATATGAACATCAAGATTGTGAAATGTATGTATTAGGGGTCGTTTTCTGTATGACAGTCCGTATTTTCATATCCATACCAGACATTGGTCCAGAAATTATTGTGATGTTTATTTTCCAACCTTTTTGTCGCACGAACTTTGTGATTTAATTCTATGGAAAAATGAGGTAAAACGCCCAACTCAACGGGCTTGAATTCTAGTTTTAACCATTTTTTAGGGAAATTTGTGACATTTTCATGCCCCTTTTCGCAATATTTTATGGTAAATGATTTCAGAATGTTGCCATGGATAAACAAAAAAGGAATTATATTTCATCATTTTAATTGTTGAAAATCAAATCTATGGAAGATACAGATTACATACATATGCACATGTATGACACAAACCGTTGGCTCAATGTATTAGAAAACTAGGAATAGGAGATGATTAAACATTTTGTGGAGTGCTACCTAAAGGGGCATTAGCTACAAGATATAAAAACAAATTAAAATATGATTTTTTTTTTGTTCAATCATTAAAGAAAGTGAAATAATGAAATTAATGATAATTTCGATTTAAGCAGCCAGTTTGGTTCAATTTTGTCAAAATAAGTAAAAAACGGTATTTCACATCCTAAATTTTACGGTAATATTGCACTGAAAGCGCGAAAATCACTAAGTGATCCGTGTAAACTCATAGAACCTTTAAACAAACTTTATTAGTAAAGGTTATCTTATGAATGTTGTAATAAGATCTTTTACTATTGTTTACATAGGCACTAATTGTCTACAACAAATTAAAACATAACTAAATTTGTATTCTTTTTTTAACTGTTTTTTGGGATGTATAAATACACTTATCTATATAACATGATACATATTTATTATAAGGTTAAGTCCTAACTATCCTACTGCCTGTCGATACTTTTATTTTGGCATTGCACAAGTCATGTCTTCTTTGACTGTCCATGGCGTTAAAACACTATATCCCTGGGATGTGTTATAATCGATTTTAGCCTCTGATGCATGATTTTATATTATTAATTGTTTTTGGCTTTTAGCTAGCTTTCAGTAACTGCGACTACTCTCAAATCGTACTTTCGTGTTAATTTAACCTGTTGACACAATTTGTAATGCATTTCTGTTATTCAATGTTTACTTATTTTGTGTTATATCTCGTCTCACTATTTTTAATATGCACCACATTTGATAAGTATTTAGTATGACGATAAATTTTCACTTCTGTACTCGTACTGTGAACAACAAATTTATTTATTTTGTAAAAAATGTTTCCGTACTCCTAACAACAAAATTATTATATTATATTTACATGTGTTCGTTACTTTATTTAACACCATTTATTCCCAGGTTAAAGTTTTCTTTTTGACATTGTTCTACATCTTTTTTAGTAAATAAATATTATATTTATATTGTTTCATATATAAAATTTATTCGTTTTGTGTATGTTTACTTGTTTTTGTTTATATGTCTTTTTGATCGACTTAAGCCATTTCGATTGATATTTTATAGTGTGTCTTTTTATGTTGTAATGTTACACTACTGTTTCAGGTTAGGGTGAAGGTTGGCGACTGCTAAAACGTTTAAACCCGCTGCATTTGTATGCACCTGTCCAAGTCGGGAGCCAGTTGTTCAGTGGTTGTCGTTTGTTTGTGTGGTTCATACGTGTTTCTAGTTTTATATATATATTAGACTGTTGGTTTTCCTGTTTGAATTGTTTCACACTAGTCATTTTAGGGCCCTTTGTAGCTTGCTGTTCGGTGTGAGCCAAGGCTCCTAGTTGAAGGCCGTACTTTGACCTATAATTGTTTACTACACATTGTGACTTGGATGGAGCGTTGGCACTCATACCACATCTTCATATTTATAGGAAACATCGCTGATGAATTATTCACTTGCAAGTGAATAATTTGACCTCATTGAATCCGTATTCGTGTGACCTTCAATTTAACCCCTTAGCTAGAGATGGGTTACGCAAGTACTAGGCGTGTGCAGCTATTAAAAGGAAAACAATGTCAACATTGAAAGGGAAACAAGGGTAAACTCTTTAAGATGAGAGTGAAAGTAATTTAGCAAAAACTATCGAAAATAACATTGATATTGAATAGAAAAAAGTTTGGACAAACTGTTGTATATACGTATTTGGTAAACAGTAAGTTGATGAACGACGATGAAACTGAAACCGCATCACACGGTAAAACATGTTCAAATAAAGCCTGATACTAATTTTCAGGAAAGTATTTTTTGCAGTTCCTGAATAAAATTGTAGGAAATAACAGTCTCTTACTAAAAAATACAGTTGTAAAATGTTTTTTTTTTGTAAAAAAAAAATACATGTACATATTGCCATGTATAAAAGGACATTTATTTCTGTCAATTCAATATTTTAATAACACAACAAAAATATCACTGAACAGTAAACACCTATTGACTGGTTATGAGGGTAAAAGCAAGTTTGTTGTCCCTGAGAAACCAAAGGGACAACAAACTTGCTATTACACTCATAACCAGTCGTTCAGTGTGTTTTATTATACCGAACAAAACAACTTTCTAAAAAGACTATATACACCACTTGGAAAAAAACCAAATAGTCACATAAAAATGCACAAGATGAACTATCAGGTTTTGTTTTGCCCGTGTGGTATTTGCCGATATTTTATTTACTGTAATCAAGACCAGGAATCCTTGTGTAAAAATTCCCGTGCTTGTAATAATTTTATATAATAAATAAATATTTTCATATTTTACCGTACACCAAAGCAATCCCAGATTATGAAGACGACGACAGATCAATATCATACATCTGTTATGTTTTAGTTCTTAAAAATGTCACATAGATCTTTTCTTTTTTAATTGCTTCTGGTAAGTAATGTGTTAATTTGAAATTACGTCAACAGACACATACAGATACGATATATCAGAGTTGAACGTTGCCAAGCAAACTAATTCAAGCAGAAAAGTCCATGCCTCCATTGTTGTCCAATGAAAAATTAGTATGAAAAAGTACAGGAAATATGTTTATAAAACTATTGACCGGGGTAATAGTCTTTGAAACTGTTGACTGGCAAATAGTCCGTGGAATGAAAAAGCACAAATATTTCATTCTTATTAGGGTAGTTTAATTGAGTCTTCTGCAAAGATTACGCGTGATCATTTAATTGGTTTTCACACAATCTTTGAACGTTGTAAAGTCTTGGTTAAAAAATTTCCGCTGTTTATTAAATACTGACTGTTAAATACTAACAGTACTAAGAGGTGCTAGTATATAATTGTAATTCAAAATGTACAAGTATTTTTCCGGCAAAAAGAAACAGAAAATGTAAACGAAATAATCGATAGTTTGTATAATTCATATGGGGTTAGTAGTGGTGTTACGTCCCTTAATAAATAACAACACGCACGGCGTTGAAGAAAAATCTGAAACGTTTCGCCCGGACCACAGATGAAGAAATTGGTGATGAAGGATTGAAATAAATGCAGAAAACACATTAAAAGCTAACAAGTTATTGTTGGTATTTTTTTTTGTATAGACCAATGGAAGTATGTTCTTTATATTGAAGACTTAATCACTTTGATAGGCTACTAGTCTAAATGCCACATGTTAAGATAGTCAATATATGTACAAACAGCCAGCAAAGTGAAAACTTCCTAGCATTCAAACTGTATGAGTAGTTATCTGGAAACGCTATGCACCTCTTATGCAAGCAAATATTCCAAAAAATGACAAAGTCCAACTATCAAAACCCTGACCACATGCACACCTTCAATATATGTACAAACTATAGGAGGATTTATCTGGAAACGCTATGCACCTCTTTTGCAAGTAAATACTAAAAAAAAATGAACAAAGTTCAACTATCTCCAAAAAGAGTAAATATCAATAAAAAAATCAAAACCGGTACCACATGCACACCTCCAATATATGTACAAACAGCCAGCAAAGTGAAAACTTCCTAGCATTCAAACTGTATGAGTAGTTATCCGGAAACGCTATGCACCTCTTATGCAAGCAAATATTCCAAAAAATGACAAAGTTCAACTATCAAAACCCTGACCACATGCACACCTTCAATATATGTACAAACTATAGGATGATTTATCTGGAAACGCTATGCACCTCTTTTGCAAGTAAATACTAAAAAATGACAAAGTTCAACTATCTCCAAAAAGAGTAAATATCAATAAAAAAATCAAAACCGGTACCACATGCACACCTTCAATATATGTACAAACAGCCAGCATAGTGAAAACTTCCTAGCATTCAAACTGTAGGAGGAGTTAACTTTAATAGCTATATGCCCATAATGGGACGGACGGAAAGAGGGACGGAAGGAGGGACGGACGGACGGACAGGGGTAAAACAATATGCCCCCAACTTTCAGTTGCGGAGGCATAAAAAGAGAATTCAGCAAGCAATCTTTCTTATCGCCATGTTAATAGTTTCTTTAGAAATCTTTGAAACATTTCAAAAGAATAAAATAAAGGAAAACAAATATGACAGACATCAACCTACGACAACCAGTAAGTTACAAGACATCTCTTACCAAAACAAATTAATGTTTATTCGAAGGGCAATATTTAGCTTTACTTCTTATAGATTTTATTATTTTGGTTAGGGATGTCTCTTTTATATATTTGTTTTCATATATTCACAAAACGCGACAAGTTTGAGTTATCTTTAGGCATTTATAGCTTAGCCACATGTTCGAAAATACAACACAACTTTGTTAAGCCTTATAATACACATTCTAATCTAGGATACTGTTGATTATTCTACGATAGATTGAATCACTTCTCAAAATTAATCCTGTTATGAAATATATTCAGAGGGACATACCTGTTAACCCCCGCCCCCGTATGATATCATGTCATATAACTTAAACCCAGTTTCCAAAATGTTTTCGTCTAGTAAATCATCTCTCGCCAAACTTAATTCTGCTTGTTAGAAACTTGATCATGAAATTGAGACTAAAAGGCAGTAAACCACTGTTATTTTTCGACATCTTGATATGGCTCTCCATTATTTATATTTGAGAAATGTAATAAAATTGATTGATATCATTACCAAAATTGTATAACTTACATCAAACACGGGATCAAATTCGACCGGCGTTTTTAATTTTATATACAATGTCCATGAAACAGTCTCATCCAGACTTTCTTCAAATTCAAATTCGTCTTCTTTATTGACAGCAAGAACGGCCAAATATTCACCAAAGACTGTCACTTTGACCAGGTTCTCGGCATAAGTACAGTCTGTTGTAACTACGTAAATAAAATTATACAATAATAAGCTTTTGAAAAAGCTTGTCTAACATCGGCATTTTTGTGCCATATCCTTTCTTTTCTGTTGTGTTAATTGTTGTTGTTAACCTTTGTTTGTATATTTTAAGTGAGTGTTGGTTGTTTGTGTGGTCTTTTGTACCTTTCTGTATATTTTTTGAGATCCCTGATAAAGTTGAGAGTAAACGTTCGCTCCTTGTACCGTTTTCACAAGTTTGCAAAGAGCAAGGGCTAAATAGGACTTTGAGTGTTTCAAATCAGACAGAGCATGCGCATGATTGTGTATCACTTACAGATACGATTATAGATCTTTCCTATCATTGAACTCATGATTAAACAAGAGGCTCTCAAGAGCCTGAATCGCTCACCTGTAATTTTTTGCTTAAATCTTTCATCAATGATTATTTTTGCTTTTCAATATATATTAACGAGTGGCTTAAAAATTCCATTTAAATGTTCTTTGTATCTGTCATATTTTCTTCAAAGGCAAAAAAATGCATTTTACCCCTATGTTTCATTTTAGCCATAGTAGCTATATTTCTTGACGTACAAGGGAATAAAATACAAAATTTATACTAGATACTCTGAAACTCATTCAGTCCAAGTTTGGCTGAAATTGATTCAGCAGATTCAAAGGAGAAGATTTTTTAAGTAAGCAAACTGGATGAACAAATTTTGAGAAATTGTCTTTAAAAGGACAATAACTCCTTAAGGGGTCAATTGACAATTTTTGTCATATAAAACTTATTTGTAGATCTTACTTTGCTGAACATTTTTGATGTTTACAGTTTATCTTTATCTATAATAATATTCAAGACAAGAGTGCACACGCTGAAATGTCTCGCCTTCTTTACTAATCATTGATATTATGTTGATAGTCCTAAATATAAAGCTTTATTACAACTGTCACATAAACTTAACATTAACCAAGTAAACTAAACATTGACCAATGAACCATGAAAATGAGGTCAAGGTCAGATGAACCATGCTAGGCAGGCATGTACAGCTAACAATTCTTCCATACAACAAATATAGTTGACCTATTGCTTATAGTTTAAGAAAAACAGACGAAAACACAAAAACTTAACACTGAGCAATGAACCTTGAAAATGAGGTCAAGGTCAAATAAAACCTGCGTGACTGACATATAGATCATAAAATATTTCCATACACCAAATATAGTTGAACTATTGCATATAGTATTAGAAAAAAAGACCAAAACTCAAAAACTTAACTTTGACCACTGAACCATGAAAATGAGGTCAAGGTAAGATGACACCTGCCAGCTAGACATGTACACCTTACAATCATTCCATACACCAAATATAGCTGACCTATTGCATGCAGTATTAGAAAGAAAGACCAAAACTCAAAAACTTAACTTTGACCACTGAACCATGAAAATGAGGTCAAGGTCAGATGACACCTGCCAGCTAGACATGTACACCTTACAATCATTCCATACACCAAATATAGTAGACCTATTGCATACAGTATAAGAAAAACAGACCAAAACACAAAAACTTAACTATAACCACTGAACCATGAAAATGAGGTCAAGGTCAGATGACACCTGCCAGTTGGACATGTACACCTTACAGTCCTTCCATACACCGAATATACTAGACCTATTGCTTATAGTATCTGAGATATGGACTTGACCACGAAAACTTAACCTTGTTCACTGATCCATGAAATGAGGTCGAGGTCAAGTGAAAACTGTCTGACGGGCATGAGGACCTTGCAAGGTACGCATATACCAAATATAGTTATCCTATTACTTATAATAAGAGAGAATTTAACATTACAAAAAATCTGAACTTTTTTTTCAAGTAGTCACTGAACCATGAAAATGAGGTCAAGGACATTGGACATGTGACTGACGGAAACTTCGTAACATGAGGCATCCATATACAAAGTATGAAGCATCCAGGTCTTCCATCTTCTAAAATATAAAGCTTTTAAGAAGTTAGCTAACGCCGCCGCCGCCGCCGCCGTAGCCGCCGCCGCCGCCGGATCGCTATCCCTATGTCGAGCTTTCTGCGACAAAAGTCGCAGGCTCGACAATAATAATCGAAAACTGCAAAATTTCCTGAAAATCATCAATTCAGGGGCAATAACCTAAAAATCCGATACCCGATTTGGATGATGATTTCAAGGCAGGTAGACATTGACGTAATGAATACTTTAACTTCTTGTCTGCTTTGCTCTAAATGCTTTAGTTTTTGAGATATAAGTCAAAAACTGCATTTTACCCTATGTTCTATTTTTAGGCCACACCAATTTGATTTTTAGTTCTTCGGACAAAAGCTCCAAATAATATGGGGCATGCGAGCGAAATTTTTTTGATTGTATTTATTTCTTGAAAATGAGTTTTGTTGAGGCGGGTGCTCTACAAGTGGAGCGAGCGGTATAATTTTTTTTTTAAATTGTGCGATTTAGAATATTTGTACATGTGAAAACTGGGTTACTTCAAAGAAAAATGAGGATAAACATGCTCTTATGCATATAAGTTGATGTATTTGTGCCTGTAGTACAGTCTGTACCATACCCAACTTTTTGGTTCGCTTTGGTATAGTATAATTTTGATTATTTTCGTCAAATAAGCTTTGACTGCGTGAATTTTCATTTAAATTCATACATGTGTATATATTAAGGAAGCATATCAGATGCAGTTTAGCATGAGGAATTAGGTTAGTTAGGTAAATGAAATGTGTTGAATACAATTAAAGTATGTGTATATAAAATGCCCATGAAAAAATATTAAATATCTTTTGATATAGTTGTTTTCATTATATGGTAATGATTGTTTATTGGCTGCTTGACATCCAGTTGGAACTACTTATCCACAATAGGATCAACATAATGAGTGAGGTGAATATTTCAACAACATCCTGAGTAAGATAATTATATTGCTATGCATGCAGATCTCAATGTATTAAAACATTTAATCCCGCTGCAAATGTTTGCACCTGTCCTAAGTCAGGAATCTGATGTACAGTAGTTGTCGTCTGTTTATGAAGTTCATACGTGTTTCTCGTTTCTCGTTTTTATATAGATTAGACCGCTGGTTTTCCCGTTTGAATGGTTTTACACTAGTAATTTTTGGGGCCCTTTATAGCTTGCTGTTCGGTGTGAGCCAAGGCTCCGTGTTGAAGGCCGTACTTGACCTATATTGGTTTACTTTTATAAATTGTTACTTAGGTGGAGAGTTGTCTCATTGGCACTCATACCACATCTTCCTATATCTATTCCCTTAAAATACATTTAACCACATTCACATGCATTATTCTGACTTAGCAAAATACTTTTTTCTTTTGCCCCTGAAACCTGCAATGTATTTCAAACTGGAAGTGGTTGCACCAATAACACATCCCTAATTATTATTTGCATGCCAATCCCAATACCACCACTTTGGTCTCGAATGTTGGAACTCTTAAATTTTCCCTTACAAAAGAGTTCTGATTGCATGTCAATAGACTAACAAGGGGATATGGAGTTTTCATTAAAATAAGATAAATCTGTCATTTTTCAAAAATTCATGTGAATTTAATATTAATTTCATCCAAGACAGATAGCTCTAGATATCTATGTTTGTTGTAGTCCGAGATTACTCTGACGTCCAACGGCTGTTTTACCAGACAAGCTGGGGCCGTGGGACAACAGCCCCCCATCTTGTCTGGCAAACAGCTGTTGGACGTCGGAGTAATCTCGGACTATGTCTGTTGAAACAATGATCGGGGATGACAATGGTTCTAACAAGTACTGATATGATCGTGGTCATCTAACGAAAGAGTTTTTATTTTTGTCTCCTAGAACAGGTAAAACGAAATGCATTTCAAATAACTGTGTGTTTAATAACTACGTGTCCTCGGCAATGATCTGACACAACTCCCGATTTTTGACCTTTTATTTACAAATCGATTTATCACACGTGCGTTTGAATCGCTCGGAGCAATATATACACGAGAAAAACGTCTAAGAGAAAAAAAAATGTCAAGGATAAACTAATTTTGGAGCGGCATGCGGCCCAAAAATTGGCGGAAGCGGTAATTATTTTTTTTTATCTAAAAGTCAATTTCTCCAAAACTGGAGCGGGAAAATCCAAAGAACTATTAATCAAATTGGTGTGGCCTTAGCCATGGCGGCCATGTTTTCTGAGGAAACAAAAAATAAAACACAAACTTTATTTTAGATACCATAAGAATCATTCAGCTTAAGTTTGGTTTAATTTGGTTCAGTAGTTTCAGAGAAGATTTTTTAAAGTTAGAAAATATGATAAACAAATTGAGTAAAATTGTCCTTAAAGGGCAATAACTCCTTAAGTGTCAATTGACAATTTTGGTCATATAAACTTATTTGTAGATCTTACTCTGCTGAACATTTTTGCTGTTTACAGTTTATCTTTATATATAATAATATTCAAGATAACCAAAAATTGCAAAATTTCCTTAAAATTGCCAATTTCGTGGCAGCAACTCAATAATGGGTTGTTAGATTTATCTGAAAATTTCAGGGCTGATGGAACTTGACCTAATGAACATTTTTACCCCGTCATATTTGCTCTAAATGCTTTAGTTTCTGAGATATAAGCAAAAAACTACATTTTACCCCCTATGTTCTATTTTTAGCCATGGCAGCCATGTTTTTTGACGAAACAGAAAATAAAACACAAACTATATTTAAGATACCCTAAGGATCATTTACCTTCAGTTTGGTTTAATTTGGTTCAGTAGTTTCAGAAAAAAAGATTTTTTTAAATTAGAAAAAATGATAAACAAATTGTGTAAAATTATCCTTAAAGGACAATAAGACTTCTCAAAGGATTTTGTGCTTTTAGTTAGTGGTGATAAAATTCTGCTACTTTAGTACTATTACATTATCCTAAATTGCATCACATGTTCCTACGAAGGACAGTGCCCTCTTCTTAATATTGAAATAACCTTTTAATTTTGCTTTCTAATATGAAAATAAATACATTTTTTTAAAAATATTTTGATGTCGGACTAATGAAATGTCTAACTATTGGGTGTCGGACTATTGAGGTGTCGGACTAATGGGTGTCGGAATATCGGGGCTTCCCCGTTATCTTTTAGTATTAAAAAATGTGAACTGACGCATTCAACGACCATTCTATGAGCGACATAGGAATCTTTGAGCTATTTGTTTGGTATAGACTTAAAGTGTTTGGAAGTTGTCATATCAGAATGGATAAATTATTGAAATGTTGTTGATAAAATTTCAATTTTAGTACGATGAAAAGATGAGCCTCCTCATAGGGTTTTTGATTATGTGATTACTTGGTAGTTTTTATAGTGATTACTTGATTACCAGACCAAATATTTCACGATTATTTGATTTTTTGATAATCTAGGATTGTATTTTTGATTATTTGATTATTTTGTTTTAAAATTCAATTAATGATTATGTGATTATATTGGCAAAACATTTGTGAGTATGTGATTACTTGGACACCCCCATGAGGGGACTCAAAGATAATACTTACTGTTAAGTTCAGGTTCGGATTCGGGATAGCATATCTGCAATGAAAAAATTGTGTATAGATGAAGATTTGGTTAGTTTTATATAATCTATCTGAGATAACTATAACACAATTGTGTGATAGTAATCTCAGAATCTATAAGTATTCTGACTAAAAAGTACAAAGGAGAAGGCAAGGTCAGGACACTATTTTTGGCCTTTAAATTCGAAAACCAATTTTAAGTATTATAAATCTACCAAATAACGGTATCATTCAGATGTTCCCATGACATAAGTCTGTAGGACATCAGGATTTATATTTTAAAATTGTGTCTTACATATAATCGATGTTCATTAAGGACATAACCAGAGGCGTTTCCAGGATATTTGAAAGAGGGGGCGTAGAATACATTCTTCCGCCGAGCGGAGCGAAGCGAAAATTTTTTTGGACCTTTTTTTGGCTAAAAAGCATAAAATAAATGTGAAATGCACTAATGTAACGATTCCTGACTTGGAGCATGTATATTTTATAGTTAAAGTGTCAGGGTTTGATATTTTTTATGCCGAATTCTCTCCATTAATTGTCTATGGTATATTAAAATGATTGGATGGATCTTAACAGCAGTAGACCAATAACGAGAAATTCCAAATTCTAGGGTATAGGGCGTTACTTTACATTTCAATAGTCCTAGGCCAGGATTTTATGAACTTGAGGCGTAATTCCGGTTGCCCTGGTATAGGGTCCATGGGGCAGGTCAGAAGCTCCTGGATTTCAACAATTTAGCATCAAATTATGAAGTATTATAACAGACTCCATGATAGACAAATTGGTGAAAATAGTCTTCCTTCGGATCATTCAAATTATGTATTGATGAACATGTGGATATCAAATCTTTGGAAGAAGTTGTAAATTCAGTTTAAAGGTTATATGAAATGGGCATGAAAAATGAAAAATAAATCTTTAACGATAGCTTTTTCTGAACTTTTGATATATATATTTATCCATACCCGACCGTTTTGTTAAAATATTCCTTTTCACTGTTTTGGTCTTTTGGAAAATGTTGTTTTTGCTGTATTTATACCCCTTTACCAAGAAATTTGTTTTGCATGCACACGTATAAAGATTGCGGTTTTTATCCAACGCAATCATAGGTTTGAACGTTGTTTTTAGTTTAGTAGATATAAAAAGATGTGGTATGAGTGCCAATGAGACAACTCGCCATCCAAGTCACAATTTATAAAAGTAAACCATTATAGGTCAAAGTACACGGAGCCTTGGCTCACACCGAACAGCAAAATATAAATGGCCCCAAAAATTACTAGTGTAAAACCATTCAAACGGGAAAACCAACGGTCTAATCTATATAAGAAACGAGAAACACTTATGAACCACATCAACAAACGACACTGAACATCAGATTCCTGACTTAGGACAGGTGCAAACAGTTGCAGCGGGTTTAAACGTTTTAATGGTACCAAACATTCACCCTTATCTGAAACAATAGTGTAACATTGTATCTATAATACCCCGTTCTAGATAGTCAAATCTGACCCCTTGCAATGCAAGGCGAAAAAAACATAACCCCATTTCAGACAATTTAGCTGAAAATGCAACTCCGTTTGTCGGAACATACCCGGTATCATATATATAGCGAGTATCCCCCGGGTAGATGTAGAATGGCCATTGGGGAAGTGTCACACAAAACAACCATTTCATGTATAGATTTACTTACCGCTTTGGTTGTTTAAAAAAGGTGTCCAAGTCACCCATCGGATCAGAGAATCAGTATAAAAAGAAATCAGAGTATGTGTTTAATTAATGAATATGATAAATTGCCATATTCAATACAATATAAGCAGATAACGATAGTGTGTATATGAAACTGTGGAATATGGTCACAATGTGCGAGTGTACTGCAATAGCGTGAGACTAGTCATTGTATCATATTCCAAACAAAATTTGTAAATTCAATAGTATGGTAGCTGCACATCCGATGACAAATAATCATATCAAGTATGATCTTTGAGCAAAGATAAAAAAATTGTAAATTCAAAATTTCTGTATAGTATAGCCAAGAGAATATGATGACAAACAATCCAATCAGCATTTTATCACGTATGAAAGAAGTTTCTAAGTGTGTGTGGATTTTTACCATGTCCACGGATTTTTACCATGTCCAAGTGTGTGTGGATTTTTACCATATCCACCGCAAGACTAAATATAACTACTGACAAGTTTCCTGGCTTATAATACTTCACATACCTGGATCAAGGCACACAACAAGACTGTGACCAATCTCGCAACTACAAATAAATAAAAATGTTAATATACCGACTACCTGAAATCAAACTGGAATATTCTGCATTAGATTATGGTACTTATATTTTACCCTTGAAGTAATTGACAAGAAGTTGAACATTCATATGCATCCAATGATTTATTATTTAATTTATTCTCGTTAAGGGCATACGATACAGTTACAGGGGAGGTAATGACGTTGCTAACTTAAAATGTTATTTTGGCGACGTCAAACTGTGACATATCGGGAAAAGATGTATTTTTCGACTGATTTTTATCATTCAAACTGATTTAACTTGAAAACGAGTTCATGGACCCCTCTTTTTTAAAATGACATTCGGTTTGATTACGTATGAAGATTATTTGTACCAATTTTCATGAAAAAGTCAATAATGCAATTTTTTTAAATTTGATAAATATACAGCAAAAAATGACGTTTCTTTCTACATTCATGAACATTTGATGAATTTGAGTTATTTCTAAACAAAAGATTTCATAAATTTATAGGATACTTATATAAAACAGAAATTACAAATAATTTAACAAAAAACAGCTTGTGTTTATCTTTAAAAACAAAAAAGTTATGCATTTCCGTCGGAAGGAAAAATACGTCCACAAATCCGAATTTTGAGCAAATATCAGAAATTTCGAACTCATTTTACTCAAAAAGTAGCACATGAAGGTACATTTTTTATTACATATTTGATTTAATCAGGTAAAAAATAGCCTATTTGCAAATTTTCATCAAATTTTCATTATGGGATCAAAACTGTATCGTATGCCCTTAAACTGCAAAGTGACAATAACCAAAGTACTGAAGTACTGAACATCGGATGACCGCAAGTTCTGGTGGATGGTCACAAGCACTTGTCTAAGAAAAAAAATCATATCTCTATATCTGAAAGTTGGGTTAAGGTACATAGATTTCTCTTGTAACAACCTTCAGTCTGTATTAAACTTCACTGCATAATACTAGTCTCATGTACGTCACCCCATGATAATGTATGCATTTGAAAAAACATTTAAAGGAAATAGCATACTGTGAAAGTATGAAGAATACAAAATCTCATAATTAAAGTGCAAAGCTACAGGACAACGCCCCTGCTATATAAGTTATCTACGTTCATATCCGTAGATAACGAATTTATCCCTGGTTTTAGTCCACATCTGGCGATTTTTAGAGAAATTCGACCAGAAAGTGTTACGTGAATTCAACGTTTTTTTCATTTTTTAAAAATCTTTTATTGAAAGGGAATTTGACATATTTTTAAAGGGGTACAGGTAGTCAAATATAAGACGTTTTTAATACAGAGACAGAGAAACGGTTATGGCTCGAATTTGGCGCTTAATGTTGTGGAAGTTACATCATAGACGGTGTGACGTCAACGTGGGTCAGTTGCATAGCTAGGTCAGTAGTCCCATTCATTGAAAATGTGGCAGCCAAGTGATGCATTTACTAAAATGAGTGCAAATGATCGACATAATAAGATAAAATCGTTAGGTGATTAAATATTTAATTACAGATACTGTATTATGGATAATCTACAGGATTCGATATTTCACTAGGAACAACCATGGAACCTAGGAAAACGCGCGTGAAGTTCCCCGGTGTAATGGGTAGCAACGTCCGGGTATATGGGTTAGTAACACCCAGGGGCTATGGGTTTTGTAACAACGTGCGTTAACCAATCAAAATTCTAGAAATATACTAAGCCAGGGATAATGTTTATTAAATATGTTACACATGAACATTCAAAAACACATATGTATATATTATACACAACTATATACTTCACACAACATAATACCAAAAAGAAAAAAAACAACCCTCCAGTCCTATCAATATTATCTTATAAATAATAAAAAAGGGGGGACTTATTGAATAAATTAAAATTTACCAAGTGATTAAATAAGAACCGCTCGCTTTGGCGCTGTCGTGTTGAATGACCGAAACCCCAGTTTCGGTGGGAAACTGACCACACGACAAGTACGACTCCTATATACATCATGAAAAGACAAGAGAAAATAATTTCACTCTAATTCACTACGTTCAACCGTATGAAATTATATATGGTTTTTTTCTGAGACAAGTTCTTGTGTGGATAATGAACAAATGACAGGGAATTCAACTTCACTGTATTATTATATTGTAGTGATATAATCATTTTTTATCAGTATACTCTGGTTTGTTGTTATATATTATATTAATATTTGTATAACAGTTATATATATATATAGCAGATCATCTTAAAAACTCTACAGGCAAACTTTCATCCATTTATATATCATTTTATTCTACTATTCTAATGATCGTGCAGTGCAAGTGCATGGTGGACACTCTTCTGTAATAATTCGTTGTTTCTAATAGATTGGATTTGAGTAGGCATTTATATTTTCCCGCTTTTGTTGCAAAACGTTCTCGAAATATTCTTCCGCATGCGTTAACACAAATTTTCGGTATTCATGATTTGTTATTGATATATATATATATTTCTCACGGAAAAACATTTTCATATCATTTATCTATGTTCTTAAAAATTATTTTCATGAATATTTATTGATGAAATTAATATATAACAAGCGATAAGGAATGTTATTTTGCACTCGATAATATCCGCGTAATTATACGAAATACGTTCGCGGTTATCAGTCAAACGGCAAGGAAATTTCTGTGGCAACATAACACCGGTATGACCTCTCAAGGTCACATCCGATGTAATTAAAGAACCTTAGTGAGCGCGCTCACATACCCCACGCTCACATACCCCACGTCCCCACATTGTCATTGGAGAAATAAAATAAGTGTAAGAAAAAAAAATTGTATCAGAAAAAAAAATTGAATCATAATTTCCTGTCAATATGCACATCTACATAGTATGTCCTTATTATCTACACAGTTTCATGAAATTCTGTTGTGTGGTTTGAGAGGAGTTGCGATGACAAAAGGTTGCAGTAGTATATTGGGCAAATAAGTTCAAAGGGGCGTAACTCCTGGAAAAAAAATTGAATCGTAATTTCCTGTCGATATGCACATCTACGTAGTATGTCCTTATTATCGGAAAAGGTTTCATGAAATTCTGTTGTGTGGTTTGAGAGGAGTTGCGATGACAAAAGGTTGCAGTAGTATATTTGGCAAATAAGTTCAAAGGGGCGTAACTCCTGGAAAAAAAATCGAATCGTAATTTCCTGTCGATATGCACATCTACGTTGTTTGTCCTTATTATCTGAAAAGGTTTTATGAAGTTCTGTTGTGTGGTTTGAGAGGAGATGCGATGACAAAAGGTTGCAGTAGTAACTTAAAGTAAATAAGTTCAAAGGGGCGTAACTCCTAGAAAAAAAATTGAATCGTAATTTCCTGTCGATATGCACAACTACATAGTATGTCCTTATTATCTAAAAAAGTTTCGTGAAATTCTGTTGTGTGGTTTGAGAGGAATTGCGATGACAAGATTTTCAAACATTTTAACACAAATACAACTCTATGACGATTTGCAAGATTTAAGTGGTAAATGTAAGAATTATCTTAAGCCATTCATTTGAATATCCCTCATTTATCTCATTTTAATAATTATACACAAGGAATCTAGTAACATACAAGATAATTGATATCAGATTATTCAGTTTGTGCCCGACACTAATAGAAACTATACATTAAGATAAAAAAAGGATTTTTTAAGAACAACATTTATTGTCAAAAAAAGATATGTCAAAATTCAAAGTTAATTTTAAAGGGTTGGCAAAGAAAGCAAACGTTGAAGGGAGCGGAGAGATTCGGTTAATGGCCTGCTCGACTTCTCCATTTATTGCTATTATATAAAATGCGTTAGTGAAAGTCATACTGGTAAACTTATGTATGAACTTTAAACTTTAGATTAAAAAAAAAAAATCATTATGTTGTATTCTATATGTCCATTTTCATCAAAAGTTGTACTTTAAAAAAACTATATTCCAAGCCAAATATGTTGCATTAACATGTTAGCCTTTTTTTTTAAATTTGTTATATACAATTGGCTGCAAATCAGACTGTTTGTACACAGGTATACTGAGTTTAATTTCTTCTATTGGTTTGCACAGGTTAAGGATATCCCGCCAAACGGGGAAACTATGATGGTGTTAAAAACGATTTTTTTTATAGCTGAATCTTTTTTCTTAAATAACACAAATTTACTACAGAACCATTGCTATCATTATTTTGGGTATTGAATAAGTAAGTAGCAGTGCAAATTAGAAGTTTTCATGACGAGGCATAGGCGGATCCAGGGGGGCCTGGGGGGCCCGGCCCCCCTTTTGTGGGAAAAATTTGGTTGATTATATAGGGAATCACTGAAGCGTGACTGGAGCGGGCCCCCCTTAGGTCAGTCAGCCCCCCCCCTTTACAAAAGGTTCTGGATCCGCCACTGCTCGGAGGTGCCATTTAAAGTATGTAATGTGGAATCAGGAGTATAAAAAAACTAAACAATCATTCGACCTGTTGAAATTTCTTTAAAATGGACCACGATTCACAAAGAGATGGCAAGAGCACAAAGTAAGAGGTGATTGTACGCATATATGTTGGACACATGCATTTGTCCCCTTTCTAAATATTAATTCCATTCCTAGTTACTGGAATAACTTTTTATAATTATTAATGAAATTAAACCTGTATAATTTATTATAATATTTTTGTCGATGAAATAACATTTCTCAGCATAAGGTTTTACCAAATTCAAAATCTAGATACGCGCTACAAATTGTGTCTGCTCCTTAAAATGTAACTAGCAAAAGTACAACAATGCAATTCAGTCATTTTTTTTCGAAAAAAAACAGCGGTCTACATATTTCAAGTATTTTGATAATGGTATAATTGTTGGTATTTACGCTAAGGCTTAAGCTATGTATAAGAGTATACACAGAATTTTTCAAAATGACCACAGTCTTGGAAAAACCATTATTCAGAATGAAATGCTCACAATGTGTGAAGGAGTATATACCCATGTGCTGATATAATGATAAACAAATGGCATATTTGCACAGCCTTTCCCTATGAACTCTTAAATGAGGGGTGGACAGGGGGTACCCTTCTTCCAACTCTCGCCCCCCTCCCGCCCCTATCTCCCACCTCCACTTTTTGAATCTTTTTTTCTCTTCCACCTATTTTTGTCTCCCCCTCCCGCCCCCCTCCCCCCTCCTTCAAAAGCTGTCCACCCCTCTTAAATGAGAAAATTGGATACAAAATCAATATAGAAGTACTATACATGCAATTAGTGCAATGATTTTCATGAGACAAGTTTATAAATGTAGATATTAAAATAAAAATAAGTACAAACATGGACCAATTCAAGAACCCATCTTAGGGTCACTCGACATTAATTTCTCAACACAAATAAAGGTAGTTTATGAATTTGTGTCACTGTGAAAAATAAACGCCAGCATATTATTATGACCAACAATTGATCATGATTTATTTATAGTCCAAATTCTTATCACGAAAATCCCATTCTTATCACGAAAATCCCTGTAATAAGTCTGTTGGTTTTCTGTAAAATTCTTGTTTGGAGTTGTCACAAAATCCCTTATCTCATAACAATCAATGAAAAAAATAAAATATGGTTGCTGTGAATTATGTCTCTTCATGCTATATATCATAGGCGGATCCAGGGGGCCCTGCCCCCCCCCCCCCCCAAAAAAAAAATTTGGTTGATTATATAGGGAATCACTGAAGCATGACTTGAGCGGGTCAGTCAGTGGGCCCCCTTTACAAAAAGTTCTGGATCCGCCACTGTATATACTAATGACATGTTTATTTTATTTATTCTTAGCTGCTTTGATATTAATATGTTTGAAAATTTCGTGTTACACAGCCGTGGTCAAATGGAAAAGGGGTCACATCGAGTCGAGTTACCAAAAATGGTTTTAGTGATAGACATTAATTAGCTCTTAGTTGCTATGAAAACTATTGTGTAATAGCCTGTACATTTAATAAAACTGCTTAATTTTCATTGAAATGATACAATTAAATAACAATATAATAACAGAATAAAATGTATTCAAAGTTAATACAAACCCATTTTGGCGGAAGTAAAAAGTCTCCTTGTCTGTATCCACGTGCTGCATGTGGTCTGCCTGAATAGTTTGCAAATTAATAGGGAAATTCCCACGAGATGACATTTGCGGGCCAATCCAGTTGTACCATTCAGAGCCAGAGGTTACCATCTTAGATCGTTGGTTGCTAAACTTGTTGAAGTATATTTTTAGGTAAGTAACATGATATTGATATTTCTTTTATGCGAAAATACAAACAATTTGGTACAGTTGATCAAAGTGAAAACAAAATGAGGCTACATGCAATTTAAAATAAAAAGTTGGTCTCGACCTGCCAAATATGGACAATTCTCAAATTGAGTAAATACTTTAAATGAGGAATACTTTGAATTTTTTAAAAATAAACATTCTTTAGCTCAATGATTTTTTGCTAAAAAAGGTAGAAATGAATATAACATTACATATATTTTTCTAAAGAAGCAAGATAGTGTTATAGTTTTAATCAAAGTACTGAAATACTGAACATCGGATGACTGCAAGTTCTAGTAGATGATCACAGGCACTTGTTTCAGAAAAAAATAATCGTATCTCTATTCCTGAAAGTTAGGTTAAGGTATATAGATATATTTTTTTCCGAGACAAGTTCCTGTGTGGATGATGAATAAATGACAGGGAATTCTACCTTACCGTAATAATAATTATATTGTAGTGATATAATCATTTGTTATCAATATAATAAAGCTGGTTTGCTGTTATATAAATTATATTAATATTTGTATAACAGCTATATATATAGCAACTCTACACGCAAATTTTCATCCTAGTCAGTGCAAAACCTCCTCGAGATATTCTTCCGCATACGTTAACACACAGTTTTCGGTATTCTGATAAATATATTTCTCACGACAAAACATGTTCACATTTAAAATATTTTCATGAGTATTCATTGAAGAAATGAATTTATAACAAGCGATAAGGAATGTTATGTTGCACTCGATAATTTCCGCGTGTTTATACGAAATACGTTCGGTTATCAGTCAAAAGCGCAAGGAATTTCTGCGGCAACATAACACCGGTATGACCTTTCAAGGTCACATCCGATGTAAAAATGAAAAAAATCCATTTTTGTGAAGATTTCATAGATTTTGTAACTGATATCAATTTGAACTATTCATCTTTTGGGGAAAAATCCATTTTCATTAATACACTGTATGTGCAATTTCAAGTATCAACTATGGAATCCAAATTTTTTTTTTATTAAACACTAGGAAAATATGACTCCTCGTTTGACAGTTTCATTGGTAGTTACACATTTAAAGAATTATTCCCAATTTGGTGTGGTGCACAACATGATAAATGTATTATTAGTAAATATTGAAAAGAGGAGGTAATTAATCAACGGGCGACAAGAGGATAAGCCAATTTGAGCATGCTGCCTTATTAAGAATTACAAGAGGTGTTACGGACAGATGGAGAAGGCATAGTTAATCTAAACAGTAGTACCGAAAGGCTTGTGCTTTTTGCAGCAGTACGTTCCATATAGTGCTGCGATTTTTAACATCCCGCACAGCCAAACGGAAACCCTACTTTGGCAAGCGTTTTACAACCGATCGGAAGAAGACCAAGGAATGACCATACATGTATTTCTATAATTCAGTCAACACTTGGGATAATACACTTGAAGAAAGATATTTTAAAAGAGCAGTTTAAAAAAGGTCGCTCTTTTAAAACAACCTCTAGAGGTAGACTTTTAAAGCCCGATTGAAGATCGAGGTCTTAGTGTTGTTCATGACCTTGAAATGTTATGAGCCTAACAAACATTTATAAAATTTGTATATTTCAGGATGTTCAACTGCGGTCTAGTGTTACTTCTTCTGTTTAAGGTAATTGATTTGTTTGTTAACGGAATCAATATAGTACAAATGTTTAAGTTATCTAATTATAGAACAAGACAATGACCATTACACACCCTGGTCATTTAGGAATAAAATGTAGCCTCAGATTTTAGTAATAGTTGGCGTTCTTATGTTTGTATAAACTAATAGTTTGTGTATCGAAATCAACCAGATATTATTGCAAGTTATGACGGTAGGCACAGCCTTGGTAACGTTACGCGGCGTCGTATTTCGTTAATTCGGCAGACTCCAAACATCTTATTACACAGATTACATTCTGAATTTAAATTATTTATATTAAAAGACTAAACTGTTAAGATGTCTGATTATATATTTTTGACACTTAAAACCTTTTTTTTTCATCAACACTTCAACTTATTTAAATTATATATCATATGTCGCATATTTTTCGCCCAAGACTGTAAACTATTGTAAGAGGCGTATCTTCTGGCATGGTCAATATTCAGTTATCACAACGGACTGTCTAAGTCTATAAATACAATCGCGTGGAAACAGTCGGTATCAAATCTGTTTTTGTGCTTCAAATGTTTAATTTTATCAACGCGCATTCAACAGATAAGATATTTGATAAATCTATCATATATGATATCTTGTTTAGCTTATTATTCTTGTTCCTCAGTCTTTTGTGAGGGGCCTGATGGGTTATTTTCGTTCTTCATGATCGGCGCAATTTCGCTATCGTGATCCGTTTTTCTACAGATTTTTTTTTTATATTTTCGTGATCCGTGATCATGGAAATTTATTTTCTGTGAATCGTGATTGACAAAAAAATCAACTCGTGAATCGTGATGAGACCCCCCCCCCATCAGGCCCCTCTTTTGTATACTGTAACTGTTGTTTTTTTTTCTTAATTTTGGTCTTTTTTTTTTTTTGGCACAGCGTTGCCAGTTCATTTTCGACTTATGAGTTTGAATGTCCCTTTATTATCTTTCGCCTTTCTTTTATAAGATATCTTATATACTTTTAAAGATAGTTTATACAGTTTAAAAGATATCTTATAAATTTAATAAGATATCTCATAAAGAATACAACATATCTTATATACTGTATAAGATATCTTATAAACTTTATAAGATATCTTGAAATTGAATAAATATAAAAAGGGATTGCCATATATTTGTATCTTGCACCTTCTTTGTAAACCTGACGGTCAGTTCATGACTGATGAAATCTCCGTTCTTGTTTTTTAGATAGCTGGTGCCGAAGACGAATATTACATCAATGGTAAGAATTTGTTTTTCTTCAACAGCTTTCAAACGACTCATTTAGGTTCACTGCTAAAATATCCATGATTCATCGATTCGTGTTTAACCCCAAAGGTTCACAAGATAAAAAAAAATATGAGTTTATAATTCGGAGTGGTTCTCGAAAGCAAAAGTTCTTCATTAACCAACTAAAGTAACTTTTTCAGTCATATGTTAAGATAGTTAATAAAATAGTTGATACAAAACTCGAAGGAAAACTGCGTTTAATTCTGCACCAATGTTACTGAAACAAAGCAGATTTTTTTGGAAGACAGGTCTGATAAAAATAAAGAACCTGTAAGATTCCTGTTTGTATGTTACATGACCCGCTAATATGGAACTTTTTCAGTTGAAGCTAAGTGTCCAGAGTCGATATTAAACCCACCTGCAGAGATAACAGTGACTGCTGATTTACCCAGCTCTAAACCATTTGCTCTATGCTCCAATGGTGAATTCTATTTTACTATGGACAACTATGGATCTTATTCATTAAAAGTTGTTTTTGACACCAACGCAACAGTAACATGCGCTTTCTATGTAAGTTTGGTTAATTGTTACATTTGACAAATGTGTTGATGGTTATCATTTCAAGTAGCCGATATCAGAGGGTTCAGGATAAGGGACCTTCATTTCTGTATAATTCTTTATTTATTTAGATAATTTTTCTCTATTCGTTATCTGTTGTGCCCATTATTCTCTATTCTTTATCTGTTGTGCCCATTATTCTCTATTCGTTAACTGTTGTGCCCATTAATCTCTATTCGTTATCTGTTATGTCTATTATTCTCTATTCGTTATCTGTAGTGCCCATTATTCTATAAATAAATTTGGTGTATTTACTGCCTTCTAATTGGTTAAAAGTATTACCTTTATTTTCAATGTTGTCAATTTTTATGGCGACACGCCCACTCTGACGTTGTGTATTCATATGCCAACATATGAGTACGTTGTTATTGTTAATATAAATAATATAAAAAGCTCTTTGAGCCTTATTTTTGATAGAAATTTATTTATAATGAATGGCTATTATTTATTTTGAATTTATTGAACCATAAAATTAATTTTTGACTCTTCACATTTTACATAATCCGCGAAAATAGCCATCCATTAACTATTCTTTATATTTAAATACCCCATTATTCTATACTCGTTATTTTTGGGCCTCTTTTTATCTATATTTTGTTTTTATTGCCCTTTATTCTTCACTTTTTACTCATTATTCTCTATTCTGTAATCTCCGTCCAGACCCTCATATCAATCATATGATACCTTATATTGATTAACGCTCTCCAGGTTCAAATGAGATTCTGCTTTGGCTGTTGTTGGTGTGTATTATGATATGCAAATGTTACAAAGAAGGCAAATACCATGGTTTTAACTATAAAAGATCCAAAATACCATTTACATTTGTGCATTAGTTATAATACCAATTATTGCAACCGTAATTTTTAGTTTCGCTAATAAAGTAATTGCTTACATCCACTTCATTTGAACTTTGGTGGATAGTTGTCTCATTGGCAATCATATCACATCTCCTTATTTTTATAGAACATTTTTGGAACTCCACTCAGAAAAAAAACATGGAATCCAACAACAGCTCTTTAAGGAGAACATTCAGCAAAATGGTTTATGGAATACTGCTTAAAACAATTATAATTTACAATTTCAATAGGTCAACTGTAGACAGTTAAACCGCTTTTAATAAGGTTACTCAAACCTAGCCCAACATGACATTAAGAGCTGTATGTAAAACCATATTGAAACATGATTGATTCTACAGAGAAGTCTATATATTGAAAGAAAATTCAGTTGTTAATCTGATAGGAGGCTAACTATAGTGCAGATAAGTTAAATTTTCATGAAATTGCGTAAGTTCAATTGTTATAGTTGCGGTAAAGTAAGAGAGTGGAGAGAGATAGATACAAAACTAGTAATAAGTCGCCCAACTATCAACGCAACAAAAGAAACTCAGTATCTGCACGGAGAACTTACAAAGCAGGATATAGTCAAATTGAACAAAACGAATTTATAAATAGTTTTCGAAAACCGAAATATATATAGCGGTCAACAACCGATCCCCAACAACAGACAATTAACTTTACATTGTCAAGATCTAATTGGCCCACTCGAGATGAGTTGTTGATAAATAAGCAGTTATCAAAGTAAAGAAATACTATCAAAGAACCATACTAGTACCATAAATGGAAAAACAAAACATTCAGGTTCCTCGGTAGCCGAGGTTGTGAGCTCGAATCAAGCCCGCGGCAGTATCGTCCGACGCCAATCTTAATTGAAAAGGATTGCCAGTTTTTACTGCAGGAGGTCGGTGGTTCTCTCTGGGCACCATGACTTTCTCCACCAATAAAAATAGATATGGCCAATATTGCTGAAAGTGACGTTAAACACCAAAAATCAATCGAAAAAAAAAAAATTCAGATTTCACAAATGAAAATCTCTGACGAGGTTCATATTTTATTTAAACCTTTTGCTATTAATATACAAATAAGGAGATATGGTATGATACTATGACTGTCAATGAGACAACTATCAACTAGAGTTCAAATGGCGTGAAATTGAACTTGTAGGTCACCGTACGACCATCTGATCAACCCGCACCGTATAGTCAGCTTTTAAAGGTCCCGACAAGAAAAATGTGAAACAATTCAAACGAGAAAAATAATGCTCTAATTTTTATCAATACAATCTATGAAAATCAAAAACCATCTCCTGACTTGGGATAGGCACATAAAGAATGTGGTAATGTTATTTGTGAGAGCTCTACTCTTTCCCTATCCTGGGACAGTGGTACTCGGTACACATCCAACGGATTTAGTGTAAAGACGCCATAAACAGTATAGGAAACACATGACAATTGTTGCAATGCCAATCTTTTTCTACCTTTATTCAATGTTTGTACTACCATATGCACGATTATATTCCATAGTTGCTAAATGTCCAGCTGCAAATTAAATATGCCAAATTAAAGACCACGGTAGGTATAGTGTCCGGCTGAGATCGTGTTTTTTCGAGTGAGTCGGTTCACTTTTTTCGAGTGTAGATCAGGTTTTTTCGAGTGATATTACATGCGATCAGATCGATTTACTGCTATTTTGCAAATACAATAGTTGTATTCGTGACTGTTCATCTTATTCTGAATGCTATACATGTTTTGAGCAAAAACGACGCACAATTTCCGTGTAGTTCACTCACAATTCAGTGTTTTGTATTGTCCGTGTTTTTTCGAGTGCAACATCTAAAACGTCCAGGTTTTTTGAAGAAAATGTGAATAAGAAAGAAGACAATCTTAAGTCACAAAAACATATTACTATGTTGATCAAATTTAATGATATCTTCCTGTTCTAAAAACATAAGTTACCATAACCTTGCAGTATTAGGATATTAAAGAAATCACTGGGTCCTCTTTAAAACGGTCTTTAGAACCGAGCAGAGGGACTCATAATCTTTTTAATTTCATTTCATGCTGCCTTTGTTTTTACCGTCGATACTATTTTGAATTGATATGTATATATTACAGTAACTAAAAAACATAGAAAGAAAAATAAGGAAAAGAAGTAAAAATCAGAAAAAATCAATAAAAACCCATATATATAGCCCCCCCCCCCCCCAAAAAAAAAATATATATATATAAGAATGATATTTAAATGGAATATCTTATAAAAAATGAAAACAACACTTTATAAAGTTCATGCGTCCGAAGCGCTTTTCTGGATTTATTTTCGTCCAGAACGCTCAAAGTCGAAAAATTTTAAAGTCAAGGATGTATAAGAACCAAAACATTTGAAGAGCTATATGACCAAGGGCATAAAAAATAGCCAAATCCATCCATGATCAACTTTGCCTGATGGAGTTTAAACCTTAGTTTGTTAATAATTTTTAAATTTATAAACGGACAATTTTAGATGATTGATTGTTGGTTGCTTAACATTCAGTGGCAAATATTTATTGCATGTTCAAGACGAGAACCAATTAACAATACATCCAATATTTAGGTCCTGTAGCAGAGGACGTTCGGGATGAAGGTCGGGAAATTTAGTCTGCCACTGAAAATTAGGGTATATTGCATATGAACAGAAATTGTGCCTTGCAACAGGCCACCTACGGACCCCTCAAAGAGCTGTAGCAATGGTTCTTGACGTACAGTGAGCGTGGCACTCTCTACACGCCCCATTCTAACCGGACGTATCTTTGTACTTGAACATCCCGCACAGCCAAACGAACGCCCCACTTTGGCAAGGGTTTTACTGCCGGTCGGAAAATGACATGTGACATTATTTTTATTCCCCAGTCCCCCTTGGAGGTAAACAATTTTAGAAAGGTTTGTTATAAATCATGTCAGTACCGAATTACTGACAATTGAGCTGATGATAAACTCGGGGATTTATCCAATATATTTTATAAACAACGAAATGATTAATCAGTAAGATTTAATACGATCCTTTTGAAATAATAAAAAAAAAGAAATATACATATAACATGTGTAAACCTCACAAATATAATTCTTTTAATTTCTGGTGGAAATGAAGCAATGATAGTGCTTTATTTCTATGTGACCAAGTATAGCATATGCTTGATCAGACTCGTCTTCACAGTAGGAGCATTTGAACATTGTTCTTGATTTCCATTTCTAAAACGATAAAAGATCATAAAATATATTATCATCAAGACAAACAGTAAATGAAACATTTAGGATATATTTTCTGTTAAAAAAACACACATTTACCCGCTTTACACACTATGAGTACGTACGTCTCAATCCAATATGTCTGAGTTCACATACAGAATGTTTACATTACGAAATATTTACTGTATGAAATCCATATCGGTACACTTACATGAAGATAATATTATCTGAATACAAATGAACGATTCCTTTTTATGAAATGTACGTGTTAATACAGCATTATCAGACTGGTTTATTGCATTGTTTCGTGCTTTGAAAAGTACTTTATTTGAAACTTTTCATTGTTATTTAAACGTAAATGCACTGACATATTACATTTTACGCCATAGGAATTTTGTTTTCTCACTCGATAAAACAAAGACGCACTCGAAAAAATACAGACTGCTCTCGAGAAAACATGGACATATAAAAATCAATTTACTCTCCAAAATGTACTTTTAGTGTCTGTATATCTAAGTATATATAGATTCCATGTAAGTATTCCTGTTGACATTTGTATTGGTATGGGTATAAAAATGGCTCTAATCTATATTTTGGAATACAGCATTGTAAGGCTAAATTAAACGCTTTTAAAACAAAATAATGTAGGGTTGATAATAAATTTTTACCTTCTATGATATTAAATGTAAGGTTCTGGCATCTTTTTTTTACGTCTTACCAGAAAAGAAGTATGTTTGTTTACATTTTTGATCATATTCACTCGAAAAAACGTGGTCACAATCGAAAAAACCCGATCAAATCACTCGAAAAAACATGATTCCAGCCGGACACTATACCTACCGTGAATGACATATGTATACCTTGTTATGTACTAGACCGACCCTCTGGTGCGATTGTTTTAAATGTTAAATCACAAAGTTACAAGGTAATAGTCCATATGTCATCACTCAAGGACCATTATTTGGACTTTGATGCGAACAGTCATATTGCTTTTACTCCAAAGTGCTATGTGCTTTTTGGGGACATTTGGGCAGCAAATATAAATTTTAAGTCTTTGTCTTGACAATGCCGGAAATTAAACACACAAATTTGTGTACTCGAGGCGCACGAGATAACCACGATGATATTTTTTTTAATATGTTGAAAAAGACATATCGTCTATCTTTATTCTAAGACTACAATACCAGTCTCAGCTCTATTATTATAGATTTCAGAAATTTCATATTTGATCTAGCTTATTATTATAAACTGAGAGTTTACTTGACCATAGTAGAGTTTCATATTAATTTCATTCGTAATTTCAGCAAAAGTCGTCCGCAGCAGACGTCTATTCTGTCAGTGTATACATACCATTATCTGAACGTGTCATAACTGTCGACATTCCCGAAAAGATAGTCACGTGTATTTATGACCCAATCGGTGACGAGAAAACAAGTGTACAAGAGCTTGAGGAAAGGTAGTGTTGTCTCTAGCTATAAACAATCATTTAAGTGAACGGACATTGTGCCATGTAAATCAAGTTGAACAATAATGTTCACCACTCGGACCTTACTGTATGTACCATTCATTACTTATATATATGAGGCGGGTACGATCATGGTCAAAGTTCAAATTTTGTCACACAGTCTGACTGTGACATAGCATACATTTATTGTCTTTCAAATACACATCAATTTATTTTGGTAAGAGAAGTCCATCGGTGCCAAATTTTACGGATTTCAAATATTTGGCTTTGAGCGTTCCTGATGAAGGTAAATCCAGAAAAGCGCTTCGGACGCATGAAATTATTAAACGTGTTGTTTTCAATTTTTTCCAAAAAATAAAACTTTGCAATTACAAAAAAATGTGTATGTTTGAATGAAAATGCCCTAAAAGCCAACATGTGGCGTTGAAAAGCATTTTGATCTAATGGAAATCTGTATAAGACCATGTGATTGAAACAAATACAGGGGAAATTGACCCTACGTCTTTACATTAAGGGAGCTATCATTTGATTTTTATGGGGGGCTAGGATGACAAATTTTGTCCTGCATTTTTTTTAGTTGTAATCTCTGTCCTGCCTTTTTATTTTTCACTCTATTCGGTCCTGCCTTTTTGGTATTAGATTATCCTGACTTTTTAGCTCACCGCGGCCCGAAGGGCCCCATGTGAGCTTATGCCATCACTTGGCGTCCGTCGTCTGTCGTCGTCGTCGTCGCCCGTCGTCGTCTGTCGTCGTAAACTATTTCAAAAATCTTCTCCTCTGAAACTACTGGGCCAAATACCTTCAAACTTTAACTAAATGTTCCTTAGGGTATCTTGTTTATGAAATGTATCCGAAGTTTTGATCCATCGACAAACATGGCCGCCATGGCTAAAAATAGAACATAGGGGTCAAATGCAGTTTTTTGCTTATATCTCAAAAACTAAAGCTTTTAGAGCAAATCTGACATGGGATAAAATTGTTCAATTGGTCTAGATCTATCAGCCCTGAAATTTTCAGACGAATCGAACAACTCATTGTTGGGTTGCTGCCACTAAATTGGTAGTTTTAAGGAAATTTTGCAGTTTTTTGTTATTATTTTGAATATTATTATAGATAGATATAAACTGTAAACAGCAATAATGTTCAGCAAAGTAAGATCTACAAAAAAGTTTTTATGACCAAAATTGTCAATCGACCCCTTAAGGAGTTATTGCCCTTTAAAGACAATTTTACACAATTTGTTCATCAAGTTTGCTAACATTTAAAAATCTTCTCCTCTGAAACTACAGGGCCAAATACCTTCAAACTTCATCTAAATGTTCCTTAGGATATCTAGTTTATAAAATGTATCCAAAGTTTTAATCCATCGACAAACATGGCTGCCATGGCTAAAAATAGAACACAGGGGTCAAATGCAGTTTTTGGCTTATATCTCCAAAACTAAAGCTTTTAGAGCAAATCTGACATGGGTTTAATTGTTCAATTGGTCAAGATCTATCAGCTCTGATATTTTCAGACAAATCGAACAACCCATTGTTGGGTTGCTGCCACTAAATTGGTAGTTTTGAGGAAATTTTGAAGTTTTTTGTTGTTATCTTGAATATTAGTATAGAAAGATATAAACTGTAAACAGCAATAATGTTCAGCAAAGTAAGATCTACAGAAAAGTCAAATGACCAAATTTGTCAATTGACCCCTTAAGGAGTTATTGCCCTTTAAAGACAATTTTACGAAATGTGTTCTTAACTTTGAATGAATGTTCCTTTAGGAATCTAGTTTATGAATTGTATCCGAAATTTTGATCCATCAACAAACATGGCCGCCATGGCTAAAAATAGAACATAGTGGTGTAATGCAGTTTTTGGCTTATATCTCAGAAACTAAAGCATTTAGAGCAAATCTCACAAGGAATTAAAATGTTCAATTGGTCAAGATCTATCAGCCCTGAAATTTTCAGACACACCGAACAACCCATTGTTGGGTTGCTGCCACTAAATTGGTTGTTTTAAGGAAATTTTGCAGTTTTTGGTTATTATCTTGAATATTATTGAAGATAAAGATAAACTGTAAAAAGCAAAAATGTTCAGCAAAGTAAGATCTTCAAAAAAGTGTAATATGACCAAAATTGTCAATTGACCCCTTAAGGAGTTATTGCCCTTTAAGGACAATTTTACACAAGTTGTTTTTATGTTTTTTAACTTTAAAAATCTTCTCAAATGAATCTAGTATAAATTTTGTATTTCATTTCCTTGTACGTCAAGAAACATAGACACTATGGCTAAAATTGAACATATGGGTAAAAAGCAAAAAATCATTGATGAAAGATTTAAGCAAAAAAAATAACAGGTGAGCGATTCAGGCTCTTGAGAGCCTCTTGTTTACATAAATTGTCATCCTGCCTTTTTTTGCCAAGTTGCTCATCCTTCCTTTTTTTTACTCAAAACTCCTGTCCTGCCTTTTTTTCAAATTTCATCACAGCCCCTCCCCCCCCCCCCCCCCCCCCCCCCCAAACCCCCCCTAAAAATCAAATGGTGGCACACACATATCAACTTCCGTTAAAAGTTACTTAACACAAAAACATTGTCGTTTTCCGTTAAAAAGCACAAAGCATAGATATGATACCCAGCTTCATGGGTATGATGGATCAATATATGTATGCAGATAATAATTGATGTAATTAATTAATGTCTTTGCATGGCTTGTCAACGTTTGACAATCAAGCAGTATTATTAAAATCACGCATTTGAAAAACTAACTTATCGTGCCAAAACAGCAGTTGTCTTTATATTAATGCTGTTTTACTTTGCACAACTCTTATTCAAGGTCTACCAATATTTCAAATTGATTGATAAAAATCTTTTGGTGGATTTTCAGTAAAACCCCGGTAAAACAGATAGAACAACATTTGGCAGAAACCAGTAAATCTACCATAAATATCTGTGTGGCTGATATCAATAATAACTGTATCACAGGGAATGTGATGATAGGAAAAAATGTCAAAATAAAAGCTGTTCTTGTAGGTAAGTATTCTGTCAACTGTATTACTGGGAATGTCATGATTGGCAAAACTGTCAAAATAAAAGCCGTTCTTGTAGGTAAGTATTCTGTCAACTGTATTATTTGGAATTTTATGATTGGCAACTCTGTCAAAATAAAAGCCGTTTTTGTAGGTAAGTATTCTGTCAACTGTATTACTGGGAATGTCATGATTAGCAAAATTGTCAAAATAAAAGCCGTTCTTGTAGGTAAGTATTCTGTCAACTGTATTATTTGGAATTTTATGATTGGCAACTCTGTCAAAATAAAAGCCGTTCTTTTAGGTAAGTATTCTGTCAACTGTATTATTTGGAATTTTATGATTGGCAACTCTGTCAAAATAAAAGCTGTTCTTGTAGGTAAGTATTCTGTCAACTGTATTACTGGGAATGTCATGATTGGCAAAACTGTCAAAATAAAAGCTGTTCTTGTAGGTAAGTATTCTGTCAACTGTATTACTGGGAATGTCATGATTGGCAAAACTGTCAAAATAAAAGCTGTTCTTGTAGGTAAGTATTCTGTCAACTGTATTACTGGGAATGTCATGATTGGCAAAACTGTCAAAATAAAAGCCGTTCTTGTAGGTAAGTATTCTGTCAACTGTATTATTTGGAATTTTATGATTGGCAACTCTGTCAAAATAAAAGCCGTTCTTGTAGGTAAGTATTCTGTCAACTGTATTACTGGGAATGTCATGATTAGCAAAATTGTCAAAATAAAAGCCGTTCTTGTAGGTAAGTATTCTGTCAACTGTATTATTTTGGAATTTTATGATTGGCAACTCTGTCAAAATAAAAGCCGTTCTTTTAGGTAAGTATTCTGTCAACTGTATTACTGGGAATGTCATGATTGGCAAAACTGTCAAAATAAAAACTGTTCTTTTATGTAAGTATTACTGGGAATGACATGATTGGCAAAACTGTCAAAATAAAGGCTGTTTTTTATGTAAGTATTACTGGGAATGACATGATTGGCAAAACTGTCAAAATAAAGGCTGTTCTTTTATGTAAGTATTACTGGGAATGACATGATTGGCAAAACTGTCAAAATAAAGGCTGTTCTTTTATGTAAGTATTACTGGGAATGACATGATTGGCAAAACTGTCAAAATAAAAGCTGTTCTTTTATGTAAGTATTCTGCCATTTTGCTTATTCTTAACTTTGAATCGGTTAATGAACAGTATTAATGGCAGTTGTTAAAATTCGTAGATGTATTTTGTAAGACTTGTTGGATTTCTGTCTTACAGGTGAAAATTCCACATCCTCTTTCATTCTTGTTGAAAAATGATGAAGGTAGAAAATTCTTGAAGGTTAATATAAATCTGCTCGAGGAGGATTTATGCTCAATAGTTTACCACAGGTGAAAACAGTTGTTTTGTTTCATTGTTGTTATGTCAATGTATATGTGTTCCGCCTTACAGAACTTCCCTTGGAAACTTTTTTATAAACAATGCCACAATATCTGTTTCTATTGGAACACAAATTCTATACCCTTTATTCCGTAAGATAAAACTTGCACTTTGTGCGACTGTGTTACACAGTACACAGTGGTGGGTACATTTCTATATAGTTCTACCCTTTTCCAATATAAAAATAAAGAGATGTGGTATGATTGCCAATGAGACAACTATCCACCAAAGTTAAAATGAAGTGGATGTAAGCAATTATAGGCAACCGTACGGCCTTCAACAATGAGAAAAACCCATAGCGTATTGTCGGCTTTAAAAGGCCTCGACATGAAAAATATGAAACAATTCAATTGCGAAAACTAACGGCCTTATTCATAACAAACCAATTTACGAAAAACCAATATGACAAACATAAACCAGCGACAACCACTGAACTGCAGGCTCCTGACTTGGGACAGGCACATAAAGAATGTGGCGGGGTTAAACATGTTTGTGAGCGCTCAACCCTCCCCTAACCTTGGACAGTGGTGTAACAGCACAACATAAGAACAAACTATAAAAATCCGTTGAAAAAGGCTTAACTCATTAGATCGATACAAAGAAAAACATCAAACAAAAACACACAGGACGTGGCAGGGTATATATTTATCCTTCATCCCTAACAACAAAAGACATTACGTACAGATCTGAGAGTACTCGCAGTTACTGAAAGCTAGTTCAAAGCCAACCACAACTAATAAAAAATCTTGTATCTAAGACTAAAATATCAATCAGTACACATCCAGCATCCAATGGATTTAGTGTAAAGACATCATTAACAGTCAGAGAAAAACATGACCTTGTGCAATGCCAAAATATAGGTATCGACAGATTGCAGTACCGTGAAAGTACATATGTGTAATATTTAGTATGGTTTTAATTTACTGATAACAAAATCAATATTTATACCAATAAAAACAATATTCAAAGATTTAATTACAGTGTTGAATATGTAACCTTTTAGAATAAGTTTATTTAAAGGATTGATAAGTTTACCCGGATCGTATCTATATTTCCGGGCTCGGTTAATGACATCAACCGGAATCTGACAAACTTGTTCTTTCTAGCAAAAGGCTTATTCTTCTTGAGGAATTGACACCACTTAATGATTCTAACAAGAATAAGAATTCTGCGGGACAAAAGTGTGTGTTGTGTTTTGCAATTTTGATCCTTTTTTATATTATAGTATATAGCTACTTTTTTAACAAGTCTTTTGGAATATATACAAATACAGGTAGAGGTAGTATTTTCTTAACACAAAATATAAAAAACAAATTTCTTGTTGCCATATGTATTTGTGAAGTGCTTTTTAAAATTTGTAATTGCAAGTTAACAGACATAATAAATATCACAATGATAGCTTTGACAAATTTGTATGGTTTTGTTAACAAGTAACCCAGTGATACTTAACTTAATTGCTTTACTTCAAAAATGAAATGTGCCTACCACAATAATTTAATAGCATTGACATATCATACAGGGAACTCTCCAGATGAACAGGGGTTTCAGACATTGTCGTGCAGTGCAACAGGAGCAGCATACAAATTGCCTATATTAACAGCAGGGTATGTACATTTGTATAATGTGTATATTAACAGCAGGGTGGGTACATGTGTATACTATGATTAACAGCAGGGTACAGCAGGGTAGATACATTTGTATACTGTGTATATTAACAGCAGTGTAGGTACATTTACATACTGTATATTAACAGGAGGGTAGGTACATTTATATACAGTGTATATTAAAACCAGGGTAGATACATTTGTATACTGTGTATATTAACAGCAGGGTGGGTACATTTGTATACTGTGTATATTAACAGCAGGGTAGGTACATTTGTATACTGTGTATATTCACAGCATAGTAGATACATTTGTATACTGTGTATATTAACAGCCCAGCTTTGGCTATACTTTTTGTCCTTTTTGGGTAATTGCTCCATGTTTTTAATAAGCTTTAGTTTTTCAAATATTTTGGCCTCGAGCATCACTGAAGAGACATTGATTGTCGAAATGCGCATCTGGTGCAGAAAAATTGGTACCGTTTATGTTATTGTTATTAACAGGAGGGTAGGAAAATTTGTATTCTGTTTATATTAACAGCAGGGGAGGTACATTTGTATCTGTGTATATTAACAGCAGGGTAGGTATATTTGTATACTGTGTTTATTAACAGCAGGGTAGGTTCATATGTATATCGTGTATATTAACAGCAGTGTATGTACATTTGTATATTGTGTATATTAACAGCAGTGTAGGTACATTTGTATACTGTGTATATTAACAGGAGGGTAGGAACATTTGTATTCTGTTTATATTAACATCAGGGTAGATACATTTGTGCACAAGGACAGAAATAGTGTGTATATTTACAGTAGAGTAAGCATACTGTGTATATTAATAGGAGGGAAGTATACTGTGTATTAAAAGGAGGGTAAGTATACAGGGTATACTGTGTTTTAAGCGGTATAGAGAAGGTACTATACTGTGTATAGTGTGTATATTAACAGATAGGTAGGTATATTGTGTGTACTTTGTTTTTTTAGCGGTATAGAGTAGGTATACTTTGTATAATGTGTATATTAGAGTTAGAATACTGTATATATTAACCGGAGGACAAGTATACAATGTATACTTTGCATTTTAGCGGTATAGAGTAGGTTAACTGTGTATAATGTGGATATTAACAAAAGGTTAGGAATACTGTGTATATTAACAGAAGGGCAGGATTACTGTGTATATTAACAGAAGGGGAGGAATACTGTGTATATTAACAGAAGGGGAGGAATACTGTGTATATTAACAAAAGGTGAGGAATACTGTGTATATTAACAGAAGGGGAGGAATACTGTGTATATGAACAGGAGGGTAAGTATTATACTGTGTATTTTAGCGGTTTAGGTACATATACTGTCTATATTAATAGTAGGGTAAGAATGCTGTATATTAATAGTAGGGCAAGAATATTGTATCTTAACAGGAGGGTAGGTATACTACGTATGCTGTGTATTTGAGCGGAAAAGAGTAGGTATACTATGTATATTAACAGTAGGGTAAGACTACTGTGTATATTAACAGTAGTGTAAGACTACTGTGTATATTAACAATAGGGTATGACAACTGTGTATATTAACAGTAGGGTAAGACTACTGTGTATATTAACAGTAGTGTAAGACTACTGTGTATATTAACAGTAGGGTAAGACTACTGTGTATATTAACAGTAGGGTAAGACTACTGTGTATATTAACAGAAGGGTAAGACTACTGTGTATATTAACAGTAGGGTAAGACTTCTGTGTATATTAACAGTAGGGTAAGACTCCTGTGTATATTAATAAGAAGGTAGGTATACTATGTAGATAACATATATAATTGATTAATACCAAATGTATTAACGTGTGTTTAAAAACCAAATGCTTAAGATTTGACATTTACGGCTTCTCATCTTAGCATGCAGCGTTAAGGAACATTGTATGAGATCTAAAGTCAAGGTAGAATGACATGTCTTCCTGTAGACTGTTGTCATGTAAGATAACATCTAAAATCTGATTTAGGGTTTTCGTCTAGTACAAAGCAGTACATATTCACACGAAATGATTAACTGCTTGACTTTTGTTTGCATATTGTTGAATCGACAACAACTATTTACCAAACAATCAGTCTCAATGTATTTATTTAAGGAATGATTGTAATATTTTTTCTGTCTATGAAGAAATAACATCAAAAATGTGGTGCACACTGAATAACCCGCGTAGCGGGTTATTTTAAAGTGTGCACCACATTTTTTATGTTATTTCGAATAGACAGAAAAAATATTACAGTCATTTCTTATAATTTAATTCTAAATTCTATTTTAAACCGGAGTAAACCATGAAAAAACGTTGATGACGTCACGGTCACATGACAAAATTATGTCTAAGAGCTGATAAACAAAACAACGTCAGCCAATCAGAAGACGCGTTACATCCAAAATTAAATTATAAAGGATAAACATACATGAAATGGTAAAATATTTTAAAACATAACCATTCAGTGAAATAGTAAATAATATCTTTGGATTTAAACCGCCTGGTAAAGTAGCCTAAAACGATGAATTTCCTTTTTACAGATGTGGACAAGGAAGTCTTTTTAAAACGGATGCAGGTTTTATAACAACTGGTAAGGTTGCTTACAGTCCTGTATTTGAAATGTTCCGTACTGCTGGTGGAACTGCAATGAAATATGATTGCTCATTTGTTGTCTGTCGGACACCATGTGATGGAGTAAGTTATTTAACATATATTTATATATTTTAACAAAAGTTAACTATAATACTTTATTGCTTTTCGTGAAGAAGGCTGCTTTTGCCTGATATAAATTAACTTTTTCTATTAAAAGATATATATTTTTTTACTGAACAAAAAGGAAATGTGTTCTCTGTGACGTAAGATCCGTTGAGTTAAATGTTATTGTTTACGGCGACATAGAAGTATTTTCACCTGGAATTCTGGTTCCTGTCCAGAGGCCCATGTTGGGGAGCGTCCGCACTGGATGTATAAATACGAAGCCGAGTCCGGTTAGGATGGGAATGTTAATCCGAAACACTGTTTTATGAGAGTATCAAACTGCACGTAAAGGAACCCTTGTATTAACCCTTTAAGGGGTCCTTAGGGGATATATTAAAGGCAACTTCCAATAGCAGCTAAGTTTAAATGAAGTGCTTTGCAGTATCATAAATTAACTCCAGCTTTTGTAAGTGTGGTTTTTGTTGTTGTGATTTTTAGAGAAAACGAATGTGTTTTTGTATTTTTAAAAGTTTTTTTCAGAAACTTTTATTTGGGTTTCAGTTCCATTATTATTAGTACTGTAATAAGATACGATAACGGGGAATAGGCTCCGTTCTTAGGGTCACGAATAACGGACTGTGAAAGGAAAATGTAACATAACATAGTTAAACTAACAAACTATTCATTAGACAAAGGAGATTCTATTCGGATATCTTTGATTAGACTGACACCGCCGGATATCAATTTTGACTGACCAAATACATATATTGGAACATATAGGCTGTCCTTCCGCTTTGCACACCAAAGCAAATCACGTTATTGTTTGATTTGTTCTTTGTTCTGAATATGTACGAAGTACTTAGTAATTGTCACCGGACAACAACCAAGCAATATATTCTCAGTCCCTAAATAAATTACCTTTACGTTCACTAACGACTTGTGCTTGTGGCTATTTTAACAAACTTTGTATTAAATGTGAGATCTGTTTGTTTTCTCTGTAAATGACCATTTTGTTTACTTCTTTAATAGTGTTTACCATTTTGTGTTTTTGTAGAGTTCATGTACAATCAAAACTAGAAAGAAAAGAGACACATATTCCGTCAGAGAGCCACATTTTTCGGAAAAAATATACATTCCAAAGGACAAGGTTTTAGATGCGAACTCCTATCCAGATGAAGATACTTTACAGGCTTTAGAAATACAGGCTTTAGAAATCCAGCAAGATGGTTATAATAAAGGTACAATATCCTGTGAAGAAAATAGAATATTGAATTTTAACATTTTCAAGTTTTAACCTGAGATTTATAAAATTTCTTAAATGAGATGTGCGTTGGAGTGAATGCGGTTTCCTGAAAGCAATGTCCAGATGCAAAAGCATTCCATAGGCAAGATTGACCCTTGACAGGTTCCTGTTCTGTTAAGGCACTTTTTTGGTATTTTGGTCCCCCAACTTTTTTTCATTCGACATCGAGCGTACCTAATCATGATGAAGGTTATGCAAGAAAAATAAGTTCTGTACACGGAAGTCAAATAATTCATTTTAATGATACCTTTCACAGGATTATTAAGAAAAGCAACAACAACAAAAATTGATACGGAAAAAAAAAGAATTAATTTATTTTGGCCTAGAGCTTGCAATACACATACTTGCTGATCAGACCATCGAAAATTACCCCTGTATTTTGTTTCAAGCATTTTTCAATAATAAAGGTGAGTATTTATGCAGTTACTTTAAATGAATACTTATTTAATATTTAGATAAACTACCGGTTAATCCACGCAAGGAACGGCTAATGAAGAAAGGTAAACAAGAACCAGGATTGAAAGAAGCAGAGAGGGTATCAGAACAGAATGATATAAGACGTTTAACCAAGACAATACAATCAGAAGAATCGATTTGGTCAAAAGAAAGCATACTTATATTAACGTTGGCTTTCATGACCATGTTGTTTATGGCAATCACTGTCAAAGTTATGTTAGCTCTTAACAGATCTATGGTTGAAGTGCAGAATGAGCTAGCACGAAAAGAAACTTTGCCACAGCTGAAATTGATTTCATAGGCAATTTTTGAAATAAAACGGAATTGGCCCAAATTGATTAAACTTGTTAACTTTAATTTTGAAGCCCACGTGAAAAGTCAGGGAAATATTTACCCCTAGCAATAAGTCCGGTCCGTCTGTCCGTCCACTTATTGGGTACTGTAAACAATCATTTTTCGCGAATATGTGATAACTTGGAACTTCCCTTATATAATAACATCAAGAAATTGTTAGAAAATTGTATCAGAAAAAAATCATTTGTTTTTCAGTATATGTGTAAGAGATAAATATGTCCTGGTAAAATATGTCCGGGCGGACACATATTACTAGTATAAAAAGTCCATGGTTACAGAATTTACTAGTATTTTTAGTCCGATGTTAGGAATTTATGTCCCCAGACTAATTTTCCTAGGGATTCAAGTCCATGTCATTATTATTCCTAGGTAAAAACGTCCTTGTCCTTTTTTTATAGGAAAAACAAAAGTTACAACTACAATCTGTACAGAAAAAGTACTCAATGGTACTTAATATAAAACATAAAGAGATGTGATATGATTGCCAATGAGACAACGTTAGACCCGAGTACAAATGACGTGGATGAAAGCAGCTTTATGTCACAGTACGGCCTTCGTCAATGCGCAAATTCAATATCGTATAGTTAGCTATAAAAAGGCTCAGACATGACAAAATGTGAAGCAACCAAGTGCCTGATCATGACAACAATAAACGGATTTAACAAATAGCAACCTTCAGCAACACTTGAATTTCAGGCTCCTGTCTCATGGCAGGCAAATAAAACTTGTTTGTGACAGCCAAATCCTTCTAGCACTTATGACAATGGTGTAACAGCGTAACCAAATAGAGACTAGAATAACTGTATAGTATATAACTAAAACACAAATTCAAACGAAACAATATAACTATATGGTACTCAAAGCAAGATCAATGTAATTAACCTGTTGATGTGAAATCATGCCTTCCTACACCTGTACTTAAAAAGATTTCTTAAAGGAACATCATTAATAGTGTTGGAGGACATGGTTTTGCGCAACGCCAAGAGCTAAGCTGTACAAAACTTAAATACAGAAGTTGAGAACACAAACGGAATATTTAATTATTAAATTTCAACTTTGGTATTGATTTTGCCTTCCAACTGTATTGATTTGAGCGCCCATCTGTATTGATTTGAGCCTTCCAGCTGTATTGATTTGAGCGCCACCCATCTGTATTGATTTGAGCGCCCATCTGTATTGATTTTAGCGCCCATCTGTATTGATTTGAGCCTTCCAGCTGTATTGATTTGAGCGCCACCCATCTGTATTGATTTGAGCGCCCATCTGTATTGATTTGAGCCTTCCAGCTGTATTGATTTGAGCGCCACTGATGAGTCTTATGTAGAAGAAACGGGTGTCTGACGTACTAAATTAAGAGCCTGGTATCTGAGTTGTACATGGATTAATGAGTCGATGCTCCTGTCGAGGTGGACGTTTCGGTCGGAGCGTCTTTTTACCACAGAACACCACAGAATACCACAGAATACCACAGAACACCACAGAATACCACAGAACACTCAAAATGTACTACAGAACTACACAAATTACAACAAAACTACTGAAATATGCCACAGAACAGTAAAATTACTTTATAAAACGCAAATCTAATAATTCCGAATTATATTACAGAGCTCCAGATAAGCTGCGTATTTGCGTGATCACGCAATACAAATAATTAAAAACCCAATGCAATTGCCCATTGCAGGGTTCAATAACCCAATTAATTCAAAGGAAAACCCAATTAGAGCTCCAGATAAGAATTCACAAATTGGGGTTTTTACCCACCATTTTTTTATGTAATTGGGTGATAAAGTTTTTTAATTGCATTATCAATTCTAATTCACCCCTCAAGCAAATATCAAATTGGGTTTTTCACCACCAAGCTCCTTAATGTATTGGGTTTTTTCATCAACACAATATTGAATATTTAGGCATGTTATAATCACTTTATATCAACCCCAGATGTGTTTCCATCTTAAATGTGTTTCTTTCTTTGTATATGTGCTTAGCTGTTTTATTTGGTTTATTCAATGACGAGCAATTGTACGTTTAATTTGTGTCCCGTTTTAAACGTTCTGTCAGTTTTGTATTTTCTCAAAACTTATGTAAACTGCAGCTGGTGTCACTAGTTGGACAGTAACTAATTGCCTTTCTAGATCCCATATGATCACCCTACAGTTTATAGTTGGGGTAGGTGTTGCTAAGTGTTTAGATTTTTATGTAATATATGTGAAATTTAGGTGCTGTAAGAAAGTTTTGCCAGTCCTTTCACCTATTTGCCAGATCTACCTTTTAATAAAAATAAAAAGTAGTTCCCAGATTTAAGATATACCCCAAAAACCTTGAGATTTATAGGGTGGTTTAATGATGGAGACCACATTCAACTTAAATTTACAAATAATTCTGCAACATCAAGTAAATAAATGACAATGTTATACTGCACTTTCCAATAAGACAACTATCTTAAGCATCCAGAACAATTAGACCAAAACAAAGAAAGTGTCAAGCTGCATAATTTGACGTAAAAAAACTGATATGTGTATTCATTCATCAACTAAAATGAAAAAAATAATATATAAACTGTTTTTGTTTAATTCAATTTACATAAATCTGTGTTAAGTTGTCCCTTATCAGAACTTTTGGTTTCCGATGCTTTCCAACTACATATCATGTCATAATTGATTTGGCCTTTCACTTTTTACAACTGATTTCGTTTTTGACAAAACCCCGTGTTTATCGTTTTATAGCAATGTTCTCGTTAAGGTACGCAAACACGCCCGTGCGTTCAGCGGAGTCTTGTTATCATCATAAGTTTCCCTCAGCTATCAAAAAGAAGCCGAAAACATGCTTCTATTCATTATTTTTATCGGACATTTACTTTCGTTTTAATTCATTGTATGTTATGATAAATCCAGAGCAATTCGAAAAAAATATGACAGCATGTCACACGCTAATTAGATAAACGCCGAGAAGATCGAAATGTTTTCATAAACACGTGTACCTTTTGAGCAACAGAAAATTCCAACAGGGACTCATTACAGCTACTTGATGCAGGGCTCTATTTTTAGAACGAAAGGACATTTCCAATTTTAAATATTATAAAAATAGATTTACGCGACGACTGTAATCAAATAAGGGTAAATAACGCAAACGATAGCGAATAAAAGCGTTAAGAACTCATGGTTGTTATTTCTTTAATTCGGGTTACACCAATGAAAATTGACTGGATGAGATAAAAATGATCATAACTTTTTTTTGCCATATTTTGTTTACATTTGGAGACCTTTGAGACACTAAACTAATGCATTGTAATAATGAAAATCTAAAATAAACATTTAAAAAAATAGTTTTTAGCAACAAAAAAATTACTGTACGGTTTTCTCAATCGCTGATCAATATACGCTTTGAATATATTGAACTGATCGATAAAAAGTGTTAATAACTCTTTTGTTTTGCAATATTTTTTCGTGAAATTAAGAAAGAGCTAATATTTCTCATATGTAACTATTTATTCTGCGAAATTGATAAACCTATAAGACAATAATTTTAATTTTCCAACTAAAATGATGGTGATCATCGGTTCACATTTTAATCTTGAATTTTTATTATCATAAAATTTTATTCTTGAAATGACTTGACAATAATTAGATCAGGAAGATCTGCTTTCAACATTCTATTTAATATAATATATATATCATTAATAATTGAATATTTACAAAATTCTTCATTGTTTGGATTCTAGCTGCCACCTGATTATATAAGATAATTCAATTAAATGTATTTGATGTCTCAGGTGTGATAATTTTAATGACATGTTAATTGGTGATTACCACAAGTGTCAAAATTGGTTAATCTAATTAAATTTCGGTACTTTAATTGTGTCGGTGAACTTGCTATGCGGGTCAACATTAATTTTGGACTAAAAAATATAGAATATATAGGTAAATGCTCAGTTCAATGATTTCTAAATGCATACAAAATTTGGTAAAAATCCGAAATATTGTTAAATGATTGGAGAAGATACACACACAACATAAGATTCCAAAAACAGTCATCGAGCTTGAACTTTTAATTGACAATTAAAAAGACACACTTAAAATATGTTATAAGTCAACTCAAATATTACTGTCCTACAACAACTTTAGATATCTTTTTGAAGTTTTATATATAACTCTATAAATGGAGAAAACTTTGATGTACACACATTAGCCAATTGTTTGAACAACTCTAGATATCAGCTTAACAAATTACTTCATTAATCACTTTAATAAAGTTTAATTATTTGTTGACAACAGCTTCAATAAAATGTTTCATTAACCATTTTGATTATTTATTGTAACAACTCTTAACATAGAATTCATAAAAAAGTGACAAAAAAAACCACCTGGTAAAACAAAATAAATTTAACAAATAATTACGTAATGTATCTAAACATTTTCAAAAATGAATTAAAATTACAAAAAAGATTAAAATGTATTTAAAATATAAATGTCACAAATATAAATATATTATGATTTTAATAGCTAGGGTTTTTCGGTATGATCCCAATTTATATTGGCCATTCAGTTGGGGGCGTAGCGTTAATGAGTCGACCCTAAATAGAAAAATTAAAATTTTATTTGAATAATGAATGTCAAATTATAAAAAGAATTAACAATAACACGATAATAATGTCTGAAGTATTATTATTTCGAAGTTCTGTGGTAAATTTTTGGTGTTCTGTGGTGTTCTGTGGTATTCTGTGGTGTTCTGTGGTAAAAAGACGCTCCCCGTTTCGGTGAAATATCTTTGATACGGCCATTTTCTGTACATGTGCTGTTTACTAAATCTTAAAATCATTCGAAACTCTTGGATTTGTTTACCTTCAGACATGGTGGTAGTAGATTTGGCACAATTTAAAGGTGATTTTGGTTTTCCATGCTCTTCAACTTCGTTATTGATTTATTCTAGTGCTACTGTACTATTATAGCAATGGTTGTGACGTTAGGTACATCTAATGCC